AATGAATTTTCAGGCACATCATCATACATAACTTGACAAAGTGATCTGAAATGTCCAACTACATGTGGATGATAGGGCATTATTACATATCCGAGATTTATTTTTCTTAGCATCACACTTGGCTGTCTCTGTTGGCTTTTGTAAATACATACATGCTTGTATTATATGTTTGATCAACATTTAAAGAAACAAAGCATCACCTAATTAAAATTAGTATAGATTGATTTCAGTTAAGCCTTCATAGCTATTAATAATAGTATGAGGAGATAAACTGTAGACCTCTTGTGTTAAAAAAACAAACAATATATTGATTAACATCATTGAGGCTGTAAATTAAACCAATCACGTACATTTACCTTAAAATAGTTATCTATTAATGTAAAAGTTTGTTGTGATAAAATAAAACTGTTAAAGTAAAGTTTGTTTATTCGTGTGAAAAGGTCCACAAGCCGCTCGTGTAAACAACATGACTGAATATATGAAGGAGCCGCCGTCAATACTAAATTAAAAACAAAATAAAAACGAGTTGATAGAATCCGTGAGTAGAAATGTAATTTAATCGTGAAAATAAATGAGACCCTAAATGCATAGAGACCCTAAATTTAATTGAAGAACAACTTCTCAAAGGAGTGGAAGAAAGCCTTTTAATCCTGCAAAAGTTCCTGACTTTTAATACGTGAAGGTTATGTTGAGTGAAGTAGATAAAATGATGTGATGATTTTAATATCATCATATTTTATACTTTCAAAACTAGTGTATAACTTTTTTTTTTAATTTTCATACACTTGTCAGTTTGTTTTCCAGGTAAACCTGATGTATAAAGTCATAAAGGTAAAGGTAAGCCCATTTCCAGTGGTTGCACAGGTACTTGTTTTAGTTAGTAAGAGCTGGGAGGTTCTTTCCTTTGCATATGCTGTTTGAAGTAATCATTGACTTGGATATATGATGGATATAATTGAGAACGTTTATCAATAAAGTTTAATTTATTCAATTGCTCGTTACGTGGCAATGAGAGTTATCTGGCAGAAGTTTGTCATTTGGGGAACATTTATACCTAAATTGGACATACTTTTACCTTTGTGTATTTTATTAGCTATTAAAGAATTATAGAATCTGAATAGCAAAGATTGTCATTAATACTCCTGTACTCCAATTATTAGTGTATAAGATGTTGTAATACTGTTGGTAACATAACATTATACCTGGTTGAACTTTTTTTAAACTACAGACAGAATGATTTACAGAAAGTAACATTTTATTTTATATATGTATATATATTAATGTGTTATTCTTTTCTATTTTACTCTTCGAAAAAAAAAGAAAAGAAGACTTGAAATACGTTCTGAAAGGATAAATGTAAATGAACATTTTAGGATCCAAGACGGACCCGCGTTATACCAAGTTCTGCGCTATAGCGAATCGCGTTATAAAGAATATTTATTTAAATATCCTAAGCGTTCGTAAATAAAATATGGTTTTACAAATGATCCTGACACTTTTAAAGCTAATCTGTTTGTAGGAGCAGTTGATTTAGTTGTTATAAAGCGCAAAGCTACACAGTAGGCTATTTATGCTCTGTCACCGCGGGTATAGAAATTCGATCTGTAGCGTTATAAGCCTTCCGCCAAAAAATATTATTTCAAACAGCTTATCCGCTTAATAATTTAGAAGGAAAATTTACAGCGTTAATGCTACATGTTATCAAAAACCTATATATAAATACAATCTGTGTAGTGAATTAGCAACAATTTAAACACAATACACAAAATGAGTATATACAGTTAACCTATATAAAAGCCAGCGTGTGTCGTGTCACGTCACATCACGCTCGATTTCTCGAAATAGGAGGAGTCATAAAAGCCAAAATGCATTTATCCAGTTAGAATAATTCGATTACTGTCTTCCCAATATGATTTTAATGACGTGGGTATAAGGGGGCTGTAACGGTGGGCGGGCGTGAAACCTTATGGGTGTAGTGAGTGTTGGTGTAATACGCCTAAAGTAGAGACGTTGTGTGGGATCACCTAGCCTAAAGCCAAGTGCCTAAAATTTATCATGAAAGTAAAATAT